GTGGGAGAACTTGCACAATTGGTGGCTGACTAAATACTTTTTTGCCCCACTGTATATGGGGACCTCCACAGAGCTGGCAATTCTAGCTTACTATCTTAAATGATTAAATTTTAGCTAGGAGGCTCACCAAATCATTAACAATTGCTTAACTAATTCCTGAAACTGCCTAAAAAGGAAGCCCCAATTGGTGGACTATAGACAAATATTAGGTGAATTATCAGGAGCATCACAGGTAATTGCATAAAGCTCAACAACTGTATACCTGCACACATACATTTCTGAGTTTTTTTCTCCATGTCACTGCCAGTTAATATTGACAAGGCATTCTGTAAAATGTATTCATGTTTTTTAGCATTTTAACCTACATGGCTTAGACCTGAGTATCCTTGGGACATTCTGCTCCCAGCAATATCTGTACCTAATAAGATGGGGAGGAGGATCTCTTATAGTCTGAGAGTGTGTTGCCATCAGGGACCTCAGGACTGAGTCTTCTCCATTGCTGCCCCCTATTATGGAAGGGCATTCTTCCTGTGATTACAGTAATTCCATTAAGGCCTAGTAGTTCCAGGAAGCCTTTGGGGATTGAAGTGGGGATGGCCCCCCTGCAGGTTGTGACTGTTTATATTGGAATAATATTTTCTCAAGGCCTTAGGATTTTTGATTATTGATATTCATGCTCGATTTGTATTATTTTAACTGTAGTTATGGAGATGGAGTGTATGCTGTTTGAAGTTGGATATAACTTAAGTGGCTGTAAGCCTGAGTAATAAATAAATAAATAAATAAATACATTTTAATCTTGGGAATATTTTTTCAGTATTCTTTCACCTTATTAAACATGAAAGTGTAATTATAGTGAAATCTGGATTTAATGGACTGAAATAACGGATAAATCCATTGCATCTGAAGTAGGCTGGCAAGACAGTTAAATTTTATATTAATTTTATGACATCTCCTACAATCTGTATGATATTTGCCTCTTGAAGTCATCTGCTGCAGCAACATGTTTTCATATTTATTGAAATTCAGGAGTAATGGACATTCCCTTCCTTCTGCATGGTTCCTTAAAACAAAGTTTCATAACATCAAAAGGAGAAGCATTTTCAAACCAAAATCCCAAATGCCATAAACCTCTCCACAGTCAAATCCTTGATGCTTGTGTACATTTCTCTTTGCATGCCAATGAGCTTAAGAGTAGCTTAACAACATATATGACCACCTCCTCCTTCTGATCAATGAAACATAATCATTTACAATTCCATCTGCAATTTTTGGTCAATTATTGGAAATGCTGGCTTTGATGAACTTTATTGCAAAAATTCTATTAAGAGCCCAATTGCTGCAAAAACTGGCAAGCAGAAAAACACAGGTGCACTATAGACACTAGCTAATTCTGCTATGCAAAGTTTTCTGAATCTAAAGGAGGAATAGAGGCGCATATCATACCCATAATTTTATAAGAAATTCAACTGTCTGAGAAGGATTTTCCACCAAGATAAAGGTGCATGAAAGAAAACCCACACCATTTCTCCTATGGACTATACTATTACACAGGACAATGGAATCCAATTTGCTACTGATTACTATGATAAATGAAATGACAGTGATTAATATTAATATAGCTGAAGAAGCAAAATACTGCATATATGCATACACATATACGTGGCCATATGTTTGCTTGGTTTTTGGTTTTTAACTGTTTAAGCTGGTTTAGGATTTTCTTCTCCATGAAAGGAACATAGGGAAAGACCAATAATGATACAGAAAGCAAAACCAACTGGGCTGAAGTATGATATTCCAAAAGGAAGAACTGAAGAATTAAAGTCACTGTGATTTTTGATGTATGGCAATTTAGTCATAATAGTCACATATAAAGCAGACTGAGTAAACCAGAAGATGATCTAAAGACAAAAACATCCCACGATCAGTTATGAAACTTACCTTAAATAGGTATTTAGAATTCATTAAAGCCTTTAGTGACTTCATTCTTTAGCTGTTACCAACACTTATGAACAATCAGGCCATTTGTAGATTTTTTTTCTTTTAACTTTAATTAATGCTCGTATTTTGAGTGGAATGAGATAGCACTGACAGTTCAGAAGTTTTTGAATCAACTGACCGAACGTGGGAAATTTCACTGTTCAGTATTTTGGAACATATTGGTCTCTCCCTCTTTGAAATCAAGTTTATGGTAAGTGGAGAGTGAAAAGAAGCTTGTGAAATTTCATGCAGTTATTTGTATGCACAAATGCCTTTTTATTTAATTTATTCAAATTCAAATGCATTTAAAAAGGCAATGCAGACACAACACACCAGCTAATTGGCAGCAAATGACAGAGTTAAAGCAAGAAAATAATTCTGAATATTTCTCCATGCCATCCTTGGCTTCAAAAGGGCAACCATAAGATCTGGATATGTTAGAAGCTGCTCAAGATTTCCATCATGCCCAAAGATCTTAACAGAAGTGTGGAGTAGCAGGATTATGAGGTTCTGCTGTTGTGGTTAATATCAGCATGCCAATCTGATCGCAAAAGAAGGCTGCAGGTTTTGTTCACTTACGTATTGTGGAAAATGCATGCCATTCTGTTTTTCCCCGGAAGAACAATTACACAATGCAATAACACTGGATTAGAAATGAGTACTTACACAACAGAATATACACAAAGCATTTTGGTTACAAGTGTGCTTAACAACCTTGATGACACATTCTTGTAACCCAATAAGACATCTAGCAAAAAGGACATTAACAAGGTTGATAAGCTTGTGACAAAACATATAACAGTCTATTGTGGGCAAGTTTGTATTTCAGACATACTGGACTCCAGTAATTTAAGACAAAACACTGACAAGGAAATCAGACAACGTAGTGTTAAAGCAGAAAATTAAAGCAAAACAGTCCTTTTTCCTATCCCAACAGATCATGAAAATGATTTAGAAACTTAAAACTTTGCATATGCTATGATACAAAGCCTAAACCTCACCAGACTATACCCACACTCCCTACAAACCTTATTTCAGACTTGCCATTCCCACACTGGTTGTCTGTAGGAGTATTTTTTTTTTTTTTTTAAACTGGTTTTTAAATTTAAAGCTATTGTGCAATTTGTTTGGAAGCCTCAGACATGAGGTATGAGAAGTTAGGGCAGAACTGGAAGTTGCAAAGGTCACAAGAATTTCTCTGTTGTGTTAGTCCCAGAAGAACTGGATCCCTGGCACAGAGAACTTGCAAGGGGTCATCATGGCTGCTTCCACAGCCAATATTCTCTTCAAGTGCCCCCAAAATGGTTCAGAAATATTTCTTGACCAAGAGCTGGGGAGGACAAGGGGAACAGGTAGGTTTAAGAAGGAGGGCTTCCCCAAACCTCAGTCTCACATTTTAGCAAAACATGCCTGGAAGGCTTTTAAGTTTAGCCCTCACATCCTATTTTAAAATATAACAATTGCATGCTCTGACAAAGTTCTTTTATGATTCTCTGAGGCCTTGTTTTTGTACCTCCTCTTCCCCTCTTCTGTTCATTAGCTACTATGCTGTACTCTTAGAACAAAAATTGCTTTAAGGATGTTCAGATATAGGTGGACCTCGCTTAACGACCACTCATTCAGTGACTATTTGAACTTACAACAACGCTAAACAACTGGTACTTACAACCAGTCCTCAAAGTTCCAGTCATTGTAGCTCCCCCACAATCACATGATTGCAACCTGGGTCCTTGGCAACCAGCCTGGATTTCTGATCATTGCAGCATCCCACAGTCACATGATCATGATTTGTGACCTTCCCTGCTGGCTTCCCACAAGCAAAATCAATGGCGAAGCTGGCAGGAAGTTGGAAGTCATGATCATGTGAGGTCCTTGCTTAATGACCTGTGGTGATTTGCTTAATGATGGTAACCAGGGACTACCACATCTGTTGTCGCTAAGTGGCATGGTCATGTGATGTGCATTATGACTACACTGCTTAGTGACAGAAATTCTGGTTCCAATTACCATAGTTAAATGAGGACTACTTGTATAGGCCAGGGCGACAGCAATGTCAGAGCAGAATTTCAGCTCTGAAGAATATCCACAGTCAGTGATTATGAATCATTATTTTAAAGTCTATAAATAGACCAGCCTGGCATTTATTACCCATAAATATCCCCTATATCATATTTATAAGGGATTCTTTCCTAGTTTTCAAGCGTGTTCTACAGTACAACAGAGGAAATCAGTCTCTAAAAGTTCTCCTCCTCCCCACTTTGAGTATTACCGTATCATACTAGTAGTGCTTCAAATTCTCCTTTATGGCCTCTGCACAGTGTAATGGAGATTACAAATGCCCTAGTGCCATCTGAAGCACTCTTGAGATATGGATTGCTTGTCTCTTGCTATCTCACTGTTCACACATGATTGCTTCTGCATTTTCTCCGTTGATGGTTTGGTTAGATTTCAAAAACAATACACTTCAAAAGTACGATGCTTCTGATGGAATCGCAATGGCACAGGTCCCCTTTTTTTGTGATGATGAAGAACATATGAAGTAGAGTTTTCTCCATTAGAATGACATTTGGTGAAAAGCCAGTGTGGTGCAGCGGAATACGATTTCATGAACATTTGCTCTTTCAGACATTCTGAACTTTTGCCTCGCTTTGCCACTGAATATTATTGGAGTTTATTTAGGATCTTACTGATATAAAAAGGGAATCTGAGTGAACAAATTAACACAAATGGTTGGTTGGTCTTTTCTTCACTAATTAGTAAACAAAGTCATTCAGCATGTGATGGGCCAGTGTGAAAAAGTCACCTCCCTCTTACAGATTTAGAAACTGGTTGTGCCACTTTCAGGTACAATAATTGCATCCAAATGCTTTCTGCAATTGGTGATCATCCTCTTATCTCACTGTGTACAACTTTTGGCCTATTCTTTCATGGCAAAGTGCCTCAACACCTTAGCATTTGAGAGTCTACTAGCAGGAACTGATTATTTCAGATCCTACCACAACATTTTGATACTTAAGTCTGGACTCTGACTTGGCTCTTCCAAAACATTGAACTTGTTCTCCTTGATCCATTCTTTTGCAGTCTTGCTTTGTTGTTCGGGAACACTGCTTTGCTACACAATCCCACTTCTACCCAGTGCTTTTATGATGGTGAAGTCATGAACACTGATTTTATCCAAAGACGAACCTGCATATCCCTGTATTTTTTTTTTCTGACTTCCTGGACAACTATACACTGTACTACTGGAGTGATTTTAATTAGACAGGCACTATCCCCAAACTTACTCATTTCAAAACTATGCCTTTGACTGTGGATTGCAGGAGCCCCAAAGTTTTGAAATTGTTTTGTAAACTTTACTAGAGTAATAGGCATCAATGACGTTTTTATGGAAGCCTTCAAGTTTGTATTTTGGAGAGGGGCATGACATGTCTTCAGAATCAGGTGAGAACTTCACAATGATGAGGGGAGCCAATATTTATATAGGGAAGAGGTGGCCCAAATCAGTCCTTGTCATTTAATGTGGTGCTCATGCAAATGGGCCTAGTTATTTCTTCAACTGAATTGACTGAACTAGGGAGTAATCACTTTTTTATACTGGTAGTTTGCATGCTGGCTGACTTTGTTTCTGAAACAAATGAAAGGAATACCAAGATTTGCTGTTACTTTGTTTGTTCACTCAAATTCACTTCATATATCAGTAGGACCCATCTGAGATTCTGATAACATTCAGTGGCAAAGGATTAAAAATTCACCAACTTACATCAGTCAAGAACTGTTTGGCATGCAAAACCTAGAAAATATCCCCCTTTTAAACAAAAAATAGACATTGAATGGTGTGCCTTTTAAGACTGCTGCTGATTTTAACCTTAGATTGGGTATTTATTGGCCACTGTGAAAAGTCTATGTGATCTAACCCAGAAGAGAACATTTATAAGTTGGATTTGGATTTCCAGGTTTTCCAAGGTACGTACCACAATTCTTGATGACCCCTTATATTTCCACAATACAATCTAAGCTGCTGGATTTATGAACTCCAACTACGAAAACTGCTTACCATTGTTGGAGCATTCCATGCAGTTGTGGGTGCAACTTTGGGTTGCCAGTTGGAACCTCCTGTCAGTTTCTTTTCTCCTGGCTGGGTCCAGTTTACATCACTGTAAACAAATGTTCAATGTATTAAAACTCACAAAACTGTTTTCCTTGCACTCATGTAAAAAAACTGAAAAAGTATGAGAAGATACCTCATCCATTATCTATACAGTCCTCAGAATCTTGGAGAAACCTGTCAAACCTTGCAGTTCAGCTAGACAAGCACTGTTATCTCATGCACAGGAAAGAAAGGATAAATGAGAAATCCTGAATGTGGAATTCTAGATAACATTCAGTGTCTGAAAGGCTGGAATTTTGTGATGTGCTGATTGTGATATTATTGGGTAGATGGAAGATTCTGAATTTTAGTTGATCGTTCACAGATTGCCTCATTTAGAGCACTATCATTATCAGTAGCATAAAGAAATCAATCTGATGTGTTATGTAAAGCTGCTGTGAACATATATTTAGAAGATAAAAACTATAAAAAACTCACTTTTTAGCTGTTCCGTTTCCAATGCCCAAATCTGTTACAAAATAAAAAAACCATTAGAAGAAATTCATTTCCTTTAAATTTTGATTTCATACAAGTCCTGTATAAATACTTACTGCCTACAAGGTTGGCTAGAGATGAATCCAAGTCATCTAATACTAACTTATTGGGTGGTGCTTTGGAAGCTGGAAGACTCTGGTTCTGAGAAGCCACTGTTGGTTTTAGGAGTCCACCTAATTCATCAAAGCCTTAAACAACACATATTATTAAATGTAACAAAACTTTTCAATTATAGTATCAGATATCAACAAATCTATATTTTAAAATCTTAGTATAATAAAGCTAAAAACACTTGAGTAGGAATTGTGCTTCTATGCTTCAAAGAAAAAAAGTTAACTAAAATACTGTCATCTTTCTTCTATAAAATAAAGTTGACAATTCCACAAATTCTGGGATCCAAAGCAGTAGTAGAAGTAATCTTACAGCAAAAATGGCTGATTATACCTTACAGACTCTTCCAGAGTTAACATTTGTATACAAAAAAAATCACTTCACTGGATGTGTGAGGAAGTTCATACATCTGATGAGGTTGTTCAGAAAACCGAATCTGTTTATCTTTGGGAGATACAGCATTTAAAAGACTCCTTTTACGAATGCCCAAAGATCTACATGAAGTTGTGTGCCATTTTTCTTTGCTCTTTGAACATGATTAAATAAGGGCTAGTTAAAAGACTTACCACCAGAATCCACTGGTACATTTGAACTTTTGTTTCCAAATACAGACTCAAAGTCAACATTAAGGCCCGCTGATGGCTGCGGTGGAGCAACAGAAGATGGTGTGAACCCTACCAACAAAAATGGGGGAAAAAACAGAACTTTTTTATATGTAATATATACTCTCACTTTTCTTACAAGAAATATTGCCATAAACTATTGTGAGGATTGTGAGAATTCAAATGCTGGAAGATGAATCAGAAACTGGAGGAAAATCCCATGATTTAAACAGTGAAATATTCAGAGAATCATAGAATTGGAAGCAACCATATAGGCCACCGAGTTAACACTCTGCCCATTTCAGGAATACAAATTAAAATATCCATAACAGATGGGCATTCAATTTCTGCTTGACAGCAAAAGTGAATGGAAATACAGGTTATCCTCGACTTATGACCACAATAGGGACTGGAAAATTCATCGTTAAGTGAGGCATCATGTGACCACACCCAATTTTTTATTTTTTCCAGTGATCATTAAGTGAATCACACAATCATTAAGTGAATCACACGGTTCCTCATTGATTTTGTTTGTTGGAAGCCTGCTGGGGAGGTCGCAATTGGTGATCACATGACCCTGGGATACTACAACCGTCATAAATACATGCGGGTTTCCAAGTGCCTGAATTTTGATCATGTGATTGCAGGGATGCTGTGAAGGTCGTAAGTGCAAGGACCAGTCATAAGTAATTCTTTTCAGCACTGTCATAACTTTGAACGGTTGCTAAACGAATGGTTGTAAGTTGAGGACTACCTGTACTGCATAGGCCATTTTTCATACTTAGAAATGTATAGCATGAATACATCACTTATTATTTAACATGTATTCCCTAAACACGATGCCCTCAGGTAATGAGTAATTTTATTTTAGCACTACTACTGAGGTAGCTTCAACTTAATTTTCCATTTCAGTTCACAACAGTTTTCAAGAATTACCCTGACTATTGTTCCTAATTTCTTTCTGCCACCCACCAATCCACAAAGATTCCTGTATCTGAATCACACACCAGCATTTAAAATAGATTTAGAACCTACCTTATATCTACCTTAATCCTGGGTTTTTAAATTAAATTCCCATAAACATACATCAGCTATGAGCCAAGAATGTTTTATACTCCATTTCCATCTGGCAGCCATGCTACATCTCCCACAGATATCCACATATTTTATGACTTGCCTTTTATTAAACCTCTTCCAACAAAAAAAAAAAAAATTAAAAAGGGGGGGAAGCAAGCACCAATTTTTAAAGAAAGAACTATGCCACCTGTTGTATGCCAAATCTATTGATATTTCAGCACCAGAATTAAATGGGGGGGGGCATAATGTGAAATACAACTGCTATCAGTTTGATGAGAATGATAAAAACAAACATGCAATGCCATATAAATTAAACTTATTTCCTTTTGTTGCAAAACACAAAGCTGGTAAAACTGTAAAGGTAAAGAGAGCTCCAGGCAAATTCACTAATTAGATTGGCCTAATGCAATAGTGACAACAATAAATGTGTTGTTAGGAATAGCAAAGCAAGGGACCAAAAATAGAGAAGCAAATATAATTCCAGTAAGTAAACACATGGTGTTCCCACAGCTTGTATTGTATGAATAACTGGTTAGCCCCTCAAAATTATTATTATTTTTGCAGAAGTGGAGATGGCATACAAGAGAACTAAAATAATTACAAAGTGAACATTTTATCTGAAAAAGAAATCTGAAAAACGTGACGCTTTTCTAGTTAGAAAATGAGACAGATAGTTATTTACAGTCATAACAGTATGCTACAGAGTGCCAAAATGTTGAAAAGTCAAATGTTTAATCCGAAATCTGAAGTCATCAAATGAAAGCATAGCAATAAATTCAGGAAACGACTTCACAGAAACAGATTCTGTACCATAACCTCATTTCTGCAATTTTTAAAGCAAAAGGAATAAAGCAAAACAAAAACAAAAACCCAGAAATATTGGGGAAAATAATAACTGCACTATTTATTTTTAATATCCTTTCTAGATATGAAGTTTTGTTGTGTTATAAATCTAAGATAGCAGGACTTCATATACAATGTGTTTGTACATATAAATATGTTTGTACAAAATCCAAAAGTTCAGTTTGTTCAGGAATTATGAATTTATTGACTGAATTTTCTTTTAAAATGTTTTAATGTTTGGCATGGATATTTATGGTATGATAAAGTTAAAATTAATGTGGGCTTTAAAAATCATTTTATTAGACATGCCATACTGAGAATAAGGAATAGATATAAACCCAGATTGTGCCTGAAAACACCTGTATGGATCTTAGCTCAAGAAGCATATTATAGAACAGAAATGGCAGATAAAGATAAGTGGTTGATGTACTGGGACCTATTGGAAAACTATCAAGGGGAATTTAAAATAAAATCAAGAGAACAATTAATAGCAGAAGGATATACTTGTCAATAGTTTTCCCATTTACAGTTACTTGAAAGATTTAAAATGGATAAAAAGACTTATGGTATGGAGCATAGTAAGTCAGAATTTGAAATACAATTGTGTACTGATGATGAACACGTAATGGCTAAAATGTACAAACTTCTGTTGAAATTTGAAACAGAGGAAGAACAGGTTAAAAAATGCACGATAAAGTGGGCTAAGAATTTTGGCAATAATATACAGATGGATCAATGGGAAAATGTGTGGTTAAAAGGGCTGACATTTACATTGTGTTATAATTTCAAAGAGAATTTTTATGAAATGATGTATCATTAGCACATGACACCAGAGAAATTATCTAGAATATATAAAGGCACTTCAAATGTATGCTGGAAATGTGAATGGCATGAAGGGACAGTTTATCATGCTTTGTGGACATGTAAAAAAGCTAAAAAATTTTGGGTTCAAATACATACTTTGATAGAGATAGAAAATATTGATTTTAAAGATCAATATTCAATTGAAGCTGGAACTTTTTCTTTCCAGATTAATGGATAAACAGTTATAAAAAAGCCATGGAAGATTATTTCAGTATATAATTACTGTGGCAAGATTACTATATGCACAGAGATGGAAAGATTCAATACTACCCACTATGGAGGAATGGTTGGTGAACTTGGCAAATTTTGTTGAAATGGATAAATTGACTTCTTTGATTAGAGAAGACACCATCTACATTTATTGGTGACTGGAAACCGCTTATGTACTTTTTGCATAAAAAAATAAAAAAAAAGAACTTGTGATTTATGGTTTTGGTGATTAGACAGGGTAGATTATAGAAAGAAGAGTAATATGATGTAACATTAGAGAGGTTAAAATATATTTGTACTTATAACTTCTGTGAAGAATATCAGAAGCTACTTCTTTATATCTTTTTTTCTTTCTTTTGTATTTTTCCTCAACTTTTTTCTTTTCTTGCATTTCTTGCTTTTTCTTTGATTTCTTTCTTTTTCCTTTTTCTTCCTTACTTTATATTAGTTTGTGTTAGTTTTTATTTTGTTTAAAAGTTTTAATAAAAATTATATTAAAATGTTTTAATGTTCATTGGAAATGGAAGCACAGGCTCCTGAACATAAACATGGCAGCTCCTTATTTTTAGGAAAATCAGGTAGACAAAAAAGTGAATACTGAAAACAAAAACATATCAACTTTGCAGTAAAATAAGGAAGGTGTAATGGACTGGGTCTTCCATTATGTTAAAAGTGCAAAAGGCACTAATTTTCAGAGGAAAAAAAAAACAGAAAGGGGGGACACAATCTGAATATACATTTCTGTACAGGATAAAATTGTAATCTAATTTTCACAAATTATCTGAAATCTTATTTTCAGAGAAAAATAAAAACCAGAACTTTACTTCTGAATATGTCCTTAAACAGTTAACTAATTAACTTAATCAGTTTCAATTACTTCTGAAGGTTTGTCTCTGTTGAAAAAAAATTTCTATTCTTCTATTCTACTCCCAGTCACAGAAGCCCCTCAAGTTCCTAGCAGGGTTTCTTATGCCACCTTGCAACTGGAGATAAGCTTCATGAAAGCAGAGGCAAGAGTGTGGGTGGCCATGCTCAACTAATGGCTCAGACTCTCTCTCTTTCCCTTGTCCTAGCCCCACTAACTTTGAGAGATGACTTCCAAGTCCCCATGGAAACAGGCAGTGGCAATTTAAATCTCATCCTTGGGCTTCTTCTGCTCCACAAGGGGTACGATCAGGCCAAAGTGCTCATTAAACGGTGCGTAACAGATACAGAGCGCCAGCCAGAGCTAGCAGGGCCCTAAATTTCCTTGCCAATGAATCCAACAGGTACTCTGCCTCTGGCGTCATGTACCAAACTAAACTGGAAATTCCTAAACACAAAAGGGCCTTTACTCTAGCACAATGTCACACCCTTCTCTCAACTGTCCGCGATAGCCAATGCAGGAAGACTTCCTATTTGGAGAGACAACACCTCTGTGATTCTGGACACAAAGAAACAACAGAGCATGTGTGCTTCTCCAGTGCCTGTATGACGGAGACATTTGCACTAGTTTCATCTTACCACTTCTGTATAAATACCCAGAGTGCACAGGACAATTTTACACCACCCTGTTTTCAGTCGCTAACACTTCTGCAACATACAATATCGCCAGATTCTGTACAGCATTGCTCAAAATTCGTCAGATGATAACTTCTGGCTGTGCTCAGGGCTCAACATTATAAACTAAATTCAGTGGGCACCTAGACTGTCATGTTAGGGTGCTTTGTAACCTAATAGATAGTCTTCCTCATACTAACTCTTTAGGCTCCCCTATACCCATCTAGCGCTCCCATGCCTTTTTTGATTATTACTTTATGTCTTTTATACAATATACATGGCTTTTAATTTACATATATTTTGTACTTTATATGTATTTTGCGTTTTATAACTCCTTTCAGATTTTCACTTTTTATAGCTACCATACATTTTTATGTTTCTTTTTAATGACTGTACCCCATTCCATTATGCTGGTTTATGACCATAATAAAGATTGATTGATACTCCCAGTCATTCACTTACCAAGACACAGTTTACTCGCTATTGGTCAGAAACAAAACAGGAGAACAGTAGTGACTGTAAAAGGATGCTGACTATAAGATTCTATAAGCAAAACAATGAAGGGATTTTCCAACAAGACTAGGACGACAAGACGAACCTTTGATCTGATTAAAGTGGATCTTATGTTCCTAACACAGCTCTATGAAAAAATATTTGCCCCTTTTTGAATTTTCTGAATTTTTGCATATCTTTGCTTCATGCTACTAATCTTTGTGTTACTAATATCTAAGGGGAATCCAACAGAACATTTAACATCATTGTTGGGTGCTGTTTCACCATGTGATAGGCCAGTGTAAAAAAGTAATCACTCCTTTGGAATCAGAAACTCTTAGCTATTCACCACCTCTAGCTATAATTGCAACCAAATGCTTCCTGTAATTGGTGATTAATCTCTGATGGGGCTGTGTAAGAATTTTGGTCCATTCCTCCATGGCAAACTGTTTCGATTCCTTAGTTGAAGGTTTACTAGCATGAACTGCTCATTTTAGGTCCTGCCGTGCTTTTATGAAGTTTAGTTTTGCAAACATTCCAAATATCCAAAGGGGAAGAACACCTTTTCACAGAACTGTGTGATCCGTATGTTACATTACCATAGTACTGATAACAACTCAAAACATACCTATATGCACCTTATTCCAAATGGGATAATGCTATTGTACTAAGCAGCTTCCAACACAGCTAGCACCAGTCCAGAAAAAGTAGACTTTTCCCTAGCATGGTCAGAATGACTTAAACATCACAGAGTGCTTCCTACATGCTCCATTTTGAAACTGCTGTAAGACCAAGACTGATATCAACTACATGTCAAAGTTTTCATATTCCTTTTAAGAAAACATCTACCAGAATGCCTTTTTATACACTTTAAACTTTTATCTCAAGATAAAAGTTCCAGGGAAAATAAAAAAGACAGTGGGCTTACTTAGCCCAGAAGACATATGATTACAATCTATGGTTAAACAAGAGCAGAAACTAATATGCAAAGCCAGTATTTACAATATTTTGGGCAAGAACATATTGTTTAAAAAAATAGAGAAATTAAACACCACTCTGATATTTAAAGAAGATCAAGTTTTTTTTCCTGGGGTTTTTTTTTTTTGGTGCTTTCGAGTCAGTGTTGACTCCTGGTAACTGCCTGGACTAGTCCCTGAAGTTTTCTTGGCAAGGTTTTTCAGAAGTGGTTTGCCCTTGCTTGCTTCCTAGGGCTAAGAGAGAGCGGCTGGCCCAAATTCACCCAGCTGGCTTCGTGCCTAAGGTGGGACTAGAATTCACGGTCTATTCACCCGAAGGTTTAAAAATGTAGGAATTTTGAAACTGACATGGCTACATACTTCTGTCTGCATAAGAACAAAACTCCTGTGCTCTAAAAATCTTTTACCTACCTCCGAATAGACCAGCTACAGTTGAGGGTTCATTGCAGAAATGGGAAGCGTTAGGATAAGCTTGTGGGCCACAAAAAGAATCTGATAAAAGCATATGAAGCAGAAGAGCAAAGAAGGAATATTACGGAAAGAAAAAACAGTGCACACTGTTATATGGTTAACCAAACATTCAGACACTAAGACTGTAACTACATGACTTCTAATACACACAGAGAGACAACCTAGGAACTTCTTAAAAGAAAAGGTTTTACTCTATCCAAAGACAAGAAGGAACATTAAATGTCACATTTTATACCTCAAAAGACACAAATAAGTAAAGTAGCAGAGCTGAATAGTGGATCATTATTTGGGTGTCCCAAGGGGGTCTGATTCAATAAATAGATTGAAGCCATCTAGACAACCAGAAAAGTTAAATTGAACATTTGACACAAAAGATTTGGGAGTTACATTTCTCAGATCAGATAGCACTGCACCTTTTCCTTAACTTACTAATCGAAATCACAAGAAGATTAAGGAGCACCCATGAGGACTCATATATGAGTAGGATTTGAACTGGTACAGACCACTGGGAGGCTCCCTATGGTGGGACCATTTAGGTGTCTGGCACTGTAGTATTAATGATTGGCTGAAGCTAAGCTTAACCCACTTCCAGGGGAAATCAATGAAAAACGAATTAATGTTGAATCAAACAGAAAGAAGACAGATGTATAGAAAGATAGACAGACAGACAGATGGAAAGGAATCTAATATAAAACCCCACCCCCATCCCCGTATCATTCACTTGCCTTTAGAATTTGGTCATGGTTTAAACTAAATCATTAGCAAATATCATGGTATCAGGAACTGTTTTCCCCCCCTTCTACTGAGAGATCTGAGATTTGTCTAAGATTGATCAGTCACATCAGAGAAAATAAAAGCCAGCTAGCCAGCCAGTACTTTACCAACAAACATCTCATGAGTTGGTGTCCTAGAAGTGAAAGAAGGGAGTACATCAGAGGAGACAGAGAGGTGATCACTAGATTTTGTGAGGAAAGGATTTAGGTTTGGAATGGCATCGTCAACAGCATCAGGAGTGGACGTGAAAGGATCTGTACAGTCCAGGTGGAAGAAGAAGGAAAAGGAAGGGGAACCAAATTAGCTATGCATTAGTATTCAGGAAGAACATAAGTAGATACTTAATTGCTTACCAGTTGTCAGTTTGCATCCAGATCATACATAAGGCATGTCTGATAGGTTAAATTATTCTGGCTCATGCATGCCAAAACTCTATATTCTCATTCTACTCCATGGCTTAAATAACAATCAGTGACTTTTCTATAACGTGCAGAATGGATGCTATTTCTAGTTAACTGGAAGGTTAAACTATAATTATGAGTTTCAAATCCTGGTTAATAGAAAACGGTGACCACTCAATGGTTTGCATACTATGCTTAGCTACAAAAGAGCTACTAACTACAGTTAAGGAGATGGTACATGCATTCATATTAATCAACCAGAGTTTAATGCATTGTACAAGCATGCACTGTCTACTAAGAAAAGGGATTACTTTACGAAATAACATCTTAACAAAAACATAGGCATTTTCTAGTTTGCTATTCTTCAGATAGTTCCCAAAACAGACAAGAAATTGCATGACTAGCCACCATAGCTGCTGAGCAATTCTGGGAAAAGGAATAGTTTTAGGAGTTGCAAATAGATACTATATTCACAACCCTGTGTACTCTGAATCATGTCTTTTGTCTTCAAATCCGAAGCACTGCATAGCCATAATGCTCAAGCTAAACTAGTTAATTCTTTTAGTCTCTTCACAGTCAGGCTCAGCTCCTGATGACTTCATGAACATATTTTTGTGGTTTTCATGACAACAATATTAAAGTGATTTGCACTGCTCTTTTCAGGGATTTTTCCCCTCCAATTTCCCAGTCTAGCTTATAGCCTGGGGATTTCCTGCCAGTCTCCCATTCAAGTACTAATCAGATCTGACTCTGCTTAGCTTTTCAAGGTTGATTGAGATTGGCTAGGTGTTATCTCCAGGATGAGCTAAAACACTGCAAAACTTTCATTTCATTGCTATATATAGCTATGTATTTAATCTACAAATTTACTAACACGTAAGAAAATTTCAAAAGGCTTCCAATATGGTTTAACATAAAGTAAGAAATGAAATCTATGTGTACTCTAAGAGTCAACACTGACTTGATGGGACATTACCAGCCAATCAATAAATGAAAAGTAAATAGCAGTATTTCAAGGAAGAGGTAAATCTACTCTACCACTGTTGGAAGGGAAGCCTCACAGTCAACTTATGCTTTGGACTTCACCATCTGTGCATGCAATTAACCTTTCGTCTACCCTCACATCAGTATGTCAGATGCGGAACTGATATGTCCAACACAAGCACCTTTTGTTTGAAAACACACAACTGTGTTGATGCCATTCACAATCTCTATTGTAAAACCAGCTTTTCAAATGTAACACTGATCAGAGTCTTGCATCTCCTTAAAGATTAACAAATGTACTACAGCTTGAACTTTTGATGATTAGGACCCATTTTATCAGCCACATGAAATGTTCTTCTTCTCAGTTGCTACTGGAAAACACCCTGGTTGAATTGCAACAGTTTCTCAATCACAGACTATCACCATTCATGTTTTTAACATTGTTGTTGTTGTTGTTGTTTAGTCGTTAAGTCGTGTCCGACTCTTCGTGACCCCATGAACCATATTGCGCCAGGCCTTCCTGTC